CTAAACCCCGAAACCCTAAACCCTAAACCCCTTAACAAGGAAGCGCATGGTGGACCATTACAGCTTCGACGCCTTCTTTGGCCTCCTCGTCCCTTGCCTGCTGATCTGGTTGTACCGTTTGGGATTTTTAGAGTTTGGGGTTTAGGGGTGAGGGTTGAGGGTTTAGGGCTTAGGGCTTAGGGCTTGCGGTACCGTTTGGGATTTGCTGGTTTCCGAAATTCGGGTGGGTGTTTTATGTGGGTCCGTATTAGAAGGGGATCTATAATATGAAGGGTTTAGGCTTTAGGGTTTAGGAGTACCTGATTTGGGTCCTGACTATTTGGGGGATTCTACTCATACTCTTTGGGGAGGGGGGGGGGGGTATGTTAGGGGTCCCCCTCTTTTTGTAAACGCCCCCATTTAGATTTTCGAGGGTGTCCTTTGCTTGTCGGTTCAGGGCTTAAGGGTGGTGCAAGGGTTTAACATAGGCCTTATGATGTGTAGGGTTTAGGCCTGAGAAGGTTTAGGGTCTAGAGTTAAGGGTTTTAGGGTTTAGGGTTTTAGGGTTTGGGGTTTAGGGTTTAGGGTCTAGGGTTTAGGGTTTAGGGTTTGTTGTTTGGGGTTGGGGTTGGGGGGGGGGGGGGGGGTCTGGGTCCTCGAGCCGCTAGTAAGATGTCTTATGGATTCGGGGTTCGGGGGGGCTGCGATGTCCAGGGGGTTAGAGCCCTTAACCCCAAACCCCTGAACCCTAAACCCGAACCCCTGAACCCATGACCCCCGTAAACGCTAAACCCTAAACCCTAAACCCCTGAACCCCTAAATCCCCGAATCCCCTAAACCCCTAAACCCCTAAATCCCCTAATCCCCTAAACCCCTAACCCCCTGAAACCCTAAACCCCTACACCCCTAAACACTAAGCCCTGACCCCTAAACCCTATACCCTATGAAAAAGTGTGATCACAGAAGATAGGTAGTGGATCTCCGTGATTTGTGCTAGACGGATGCCTCCGTTTGATGAAACTTCCACGCCTGCTTGTTCTAGAGTTCTGCATCGCAAGTTATCCTAAACCCTAAACCCTAAACCCCTAAACCCCTAAACCCCAAACCCTAAACCCTAAACCCTAAACGCTCGTTTTTTGTGGAGCGTTGTCCAAGTCCGGCTTGAGTCGCTCCGTGGCTTCACGCTTGGGGTTGGGGGAGTTTAGGGTTTATAGGGTTTAGGGTTTTGGGTTTATAGGGTTCGGGCTTATGGTTTTAGGGTTTAGGGTTTATAGGGTTTAGGGTTTAGGGTTTACGGCTTAGGGTTTTGAGTTTAGGGTTTAAAGTTTAGGGTTTAGTCGGTGCAGGGGCATCCTAAGCCCTAGACACCCTGGATTCCCCCAACTCAGGTAGTCTCCAACGCCGTCTTCATTGGCTTCGAAGTGGAAGAGGGCGTGACGCCTAGTTCGGGGCCGAAAGCCATCGTGAGCCCAAACCCTTAAACCCTAGACCCTAAACCCTAGACCCTAGACCCTAGACCCAAAACCATAGCAGATAGCAGCCCTAAACGCCTGGAAGGCCATCGGTCGAACAGCTCATGTGAGTGGCCATGCATAGCAGCCTTTGAACACCTCCACTTAAACTCCATACCGTAAGCCTGAAAAGCTCCCTATACCTCTAAGCCCCGAGAGTGGTTGAATATCGACATGCTAAACCTTTTACAACTCATGCATGACGCCCAGAATATGGGCACGCAGGTTTTTGGGGCGTATAGGGTTGAAGGGTTCATAGGATGTCAGGGTTCAGGGTACACGACCACAGGACTGCAGCTTTCGGCCAACACCACATCATCAAACAGGGAAACGGCCAAAAAAGATCCACAAGAGCCCTGAACCGTATAACCCTAAACCCTAAGCCCTGTACCCTATGCCCTAAACCCTAGACCCAAAAGCCCCAAACCTTGCGCCCTATACAACACATTTTTTCGGACCCAATTCCAACTTCCGACCGCTCTCCGGGGCAGTCTTTCTGTCCGCGCACGGGGATTTGTCAGGTTCCAGCGACAGTTCCCCCCCCAAATAGCAACCCGCAAGCTCCAAAAGCAAGCTTGGGGTCTCTAGCTCCTATAAACCCTAGTGGTCAACTAGGTCGGCGGTATACCTTACCGCTTCTCATGTGCTGGCGCTAAGCTGCTGCAAGCTGTGGGGCGGCCGCAGCTGCCCTCCTTGCTGTTTTGGCGGGATGCTGCGCGTAGCGAAGCTGTCCGGGGAGGAGGTGGCGAGCATAGCTGTTGGGGAGGTGAGCGATGTGAGGTCCCTGAAGCAGCACTTGAGCAAGCAGCACAGCAGCTTGCCCCCACGCTTTCGGCAGAGGGTCCTGCTTAACGACACTGGGCTGGAGGACGCTGCCCAGCTCGACTCGCCCATGGACCTGCAACTAACTTGGCCAATAGTTGAACTTTAAACTTTTTGGGTTTCCATATTTCGTAGAAAAATAAAGTGTAAGCTTTTTTTCCTCTTAATTATTAGAGAAGTAAGGCAACTGGTGCTGCTGCCCTTCGCCCAAATTTCCGGAAGGCAGCTGGAGGAGTTCGCAGACGCCGCCCAACGAGGCTCTGCAGCCAAGGCGTTTTTTTTTTTTTTTTTTTTCGTGCTCTGTTTCAAGCAGCCCCCCCCCCCCCCCCCCTCTGTCTCTGGAACATACACACAGATATATGTATATATATATATATGTATGTATATATATATACACATGTATATATATATATATGTATGTATGTATAGAATGACAACTCGCAAGCCTCATGGAAAACCTACAGAAGAGACGCCCTCATCGAAGCTCGCGCCCTTCGTGAGGTGGAGGCGATGCTCCAGCTCCCCCTCGACCCGAACTTGGTCGACGCGCAGGGCCGTACCGCTTTGGTGCACCTTGGGGGCCCAATGAGCCCTAAAAGGGTTTATGGTTCAGATATATATATATATATATATGTATATTCTCATATATATATATATATATTAATGCATATATATATATATATACATATATATATATGCCTTAGTTGGAATTCCCCTAGAAGGGCTTATGGTTCATATACCTTCTACTCGGAATTCTAGTCGTGTAGGGGTACATATGGCCCCAAGTTTGGGGGTTTAGGGTTTAGGGTTTAGGGTTTAGGGTTTAGGGTTTAGGGTTTAGGGTTTAGGGTTTAGGGGGTTCAGTTGGCCCCCAAGGCAGGCGTCCCGACGAGGCCACGTGGAGGTGGTCGCTTTGCTTCTCGAAGGGGGGGCCGACCAGGACTTGGCAGAAACCAGCTGGGCCGGGTTTACCGCTCCTGGGTTTTGGAGTAAGGGGTTTAGGGTTTAGGGTTTAGGGTTTAGGGTTTACAGCTCTTGGGTTTGTTACTGCCTTGGTTGTGCTTGTTCCTTTATTTTGCGGCCTTTTTTTGGGAGACCTTTGGGCCCTTGGGCAATGCTCCTGGGTTTGGAGTAAGGGGTTTAGGGTTCAGGGTTCAGGGTTTAGGGTTTACAGCTCCTGGGTTGGAGTACTAGACTTTAGTACTTGTTGTTGGTTCTGGGTTCCTAATTATAGCTACTTATACCTCAAAGGTATATACTTCTTTTTCCAGGGTCTACTCCAAAGTAGGCTCTCACTGCGGCATCTTTCTATGGCCGCGGCGACGTCGCGCGCTTGCTGCTCATGGCCGGCGCCGACACAGAATTGGCAAACGAGACTGGGTTGACGGCTCTCATTCTGGCAGTTCACGGACGCCATGTTGAAGTCGCTCGCTTGCTGGTGGAGGCCGGCGCCAAGGTGGACGTGGCAGACAATGCCGGTGACACGCCTCTGATGGTGGCATCAGAGTTTGGATGTGTCAAAACGGTGCGCTTGCTAATAGAGGCCGGCGCCAACAAGGACTTGGCCAACAACTCTGGGCTTACAGCCCTCATGCAGGCAGCTCGCTTCGAACATGCTGAGGTGGTGTCGATGCTGTCAGAGGCCGGCGCCACGAACGACTTTGCCAGGAAGGGTGTCCTTGGTATGGCCCTGCTGAGACTCTTGCTAGGTCGGTGGTACCCTTTACCCTCTCTGTTTAGGTTCTGGGTTCCCTTAGTCAAGTAGCCAACCACCCCCGCAAAAAAAGGGCGCCCTTATTAGAATTAATATGGTGGACCCTAAGCCCTACGGGCCCTAAACCCTAAACCCTAAACCCTGAATGGGCCACTAAGGACTCCGCACATGTTGTCGAAGGAAGCTGCTCCGAGTTCCTTCAATCCCTTGGTGGCCGTGGTGCAGGTCCATCGTGGCGTCGTGCAAGGAAAACGATGTGCAGCCGGTTTAGGGTTTAGGGTTTAGGGTTTAGGGTTTAGGGCTTAGGGTTTAGGGTTTCCTTTAACAGAGAGTCAATCAACCCTAGACCCTAAAATTCTAGCGTTTCGGTAGTGTTTGTAACATTGCAGGGTTTGGGGTAGTGGTTCTACCCCACAGGTAGCGCCTTCGACTCCGACTCTACCACAAACACGAAGCCACATACTCCAAACCCCCCAAGGCCTAAACACTAAACCCTAAAGCCTAAACCCTAAGCCCGAAAGCCTAAACCCTATAGACCCTCAACCCTCAACCCTAAACCCTCAACCCTCAACCCTAAACCCTAAACCCTAAACCCTAAACCCTAAACCCTAAACCCTAAACCCTAAACCCTAAACCCTAAACCCTAAACCCTAAACCCTAAACCCCACCCCTCCCTATCCCCCCTCCCCCTTAACTCACCCCATGCTTCGCACCCTGAAGTGCCCCGGTGCCTGTACTAACCTATGTAGGCCCTTGGGACATTCTATATTTTCCCTTATTGGGTTTAAGAGGATCATAATTTAGGAATACTTTTCAGAGGGCTCTAAGGGCCATCCTAGTAACCAATTGTAACTGTACTTATAACCCCTACTTATCATACCCCTTTAGGGGCCTTGTAGGGGTTATCCCAATGATAAGTAGGGTTATAAGGACAGTTATTTTCTGGTTAGCAAGTACCATGAACCTCCAAGCAGGCCTGGTTACCGCGCGCTCTACGCCGGTGCAGGTCGCCCGCGGTGTTCAGGGTTCAGGGTTCAGGGTTCAGGGTTTAGGGTTTAGGGCTTAGGGCTTAGGGAAGTTGTTATAGGGTTCAGGTCCGGAGTTCGGGGCGAAAGTTTTGAAGCGTGTTTTGGGCGTTTTTTGTTTGTTACTCAGGCGGCCAAGTTTTGGGCGGGCCCTCTGGGCCCTCTAGGGACATTTTGAAAGAATTTGCAAGCTGGTTTTTCGAGTTTTCTTGACATGGGGCGTTGTAGTTTTGCCAAAAAGTCTGAAAAGTCAGAATGATATCATATACAGTTTTCGAGTTCAGGTTTTATAGTTTTTTTTTTTTTTTGGGGGGGGGGGTTCGGGTTTAGGGTTACTTATAGGGCTTTAAGGGTTGGCAGGGTTTTACAGCTGTAAGAGGTTTTAGGCTTTAGGGTTTTTGGGGCGGACGTAGGGCGTGGGGCTTGGGGGCTGAGGGCTCAGGCCCACCAGTTCGGAATGGTCAGGGCTTAGCGCCTTTTCACAAGCAGTTGACAAAGTGTCTTTCAGCCTTTTTGGGCGTGGAATCCCCAAATATCGCCCGAACATTCCTCCAAGACTTTGCAAAAACCTTCAGCGAAGTCGAGACAGGTCATGCAGTACACCTGCTAGGGTTCAGGGTTTAGGGTTTAGGGTTACAGGTCATGCAGTACACCTACACGCTGTTTTTTCTCATTGAGCTGGTCCTACGACGCTTGGCTGCAAGAGCAGAGCAGGTGCGCCGTCGTTGTTTCATGAGTTCCGGCACTTCCCCCGCCTGGATTACTCCCCAACCGATAACACGGCGCAAAAAGGCTTGGGGGTTCCTAGTAGTAGAGTAGGTAACCTTTAACCTTTTTGGGGTAGTATAATGCCCTTATAATCCCAAAGGTTAACCTTTAATTCCCCCAGGTTACTGGACAACTAGGGGTTACTTAGGCCTCATTTCGGGTTCGTGGTAGTTAAGGTGAGGGCAATCGCCCTCAATCCTTTTAATCTACTAAGCTGAAGCCTTACCAGCTTTAAGCCGCCCACCCCAAACGCTAAGTCTAAGTCACGAGCCCGAAGTACCCTCACGCCCTAAAGCCCTGAACCCTGACGCCCAGAACCCGAAAGGCTAAAGCCTAAAGCCTAAAACCTAAACCCTAAACCCTAAACCCTAAGCCCTAAGCATAGTTCAACACGCCCAAAGCCCATGCCCCTCAATCTACAAAAGGAGAATATGAGGAAGGGCTTTACTATAACCCCCTTCTTTTCTCTTAAGGTTAGGCCCAAGGGGTATGCTGAGCATTTCTTAGATAAACCCTAAATCCCAAAACCTAAGCCCTAAACCCGAAACCCTAAAAACCCTAAAAAAGCTCAAAACAAACCCTAAAAACCCGAAAAATCTTAAAAACCCTAAAAGCCCTAAAAGCCCTAAAAGCCCTAAACCCCAAAAAAACCCAAGGATTAACCCCGAGCCCTCAACTCAGTTGTTTGGAGGGCCTTAGGAATTGTTTCACGCAGAGGGTGGGGTCTAGGGTTTAGGGTTTAGGGTTTAGGGTTTAGGGTTTAGGGTTTAGGGTTTAGGGTTTAGGGTTTAGGGTTTAGGAGCCTCAGCACCTGCAAGCTGAGGATTCAGGGTTTCTATAGGGTTTAGGGTTTAGAGAATCGGGTTTAGTGTCCATTCACCGTTTAGGGTTTAGGGTTTAGGGTTTTCCTCGTCTCACCGTCAGGAGCGCGACGGGTACAACCCAAACCCATGGCAGGTTCCGCCCAGTATAACCTTCGTCATGGACACCATTATGAATCCCAGACCCCAGGGGTACAATCGTAGGGGTTTAGGGTTTAGGGTTTAGGGTTTAGGGTTTAGGGTTTAGGGTTTAGGGTTTAGGTTCGGGTCCGTTGCTCCTGTCTGCATAGTCTTCGCTGCGTGCTGCCTCGCCGCAGGAATAGGCGCTTACGGGAGGAGCTTCTTCTGTGGCAGCTTGGCTGCCTTAGCTCAGCCGCACCCTCAACCCTAAACCCTAAACCCTAAACTAAGTGAGGGGTCGCTTCCGTCGAGCGACAGACCCCGAACGCTCGGCCGAGGGCCTTACAGCCCGAGCGCCCAAGCGAAAAGAGAAACGGAAAGGTGAGGGTTAAGCCTCACCGTCTGTCCTCGACAAACCAACGGACATCGGCCTATTTTACGACAAAGTCAGTACCTCGGCTAAGGGATGGCCGGCACCCAGACCACCTTTAGCGTAGCTAAAGTATAACCCCAAATCGTAACCCTTTGCCTCTGGAGGTGGTTCAGGGTTTTGGGTTCAGGGTTTGCCGGGCCCCTGGCCCCTGGTGGCTGGATTCCTGGACTAGGAGGCTGGGAGGGGTCCAGGCAGGCGGGTTGCTCAATTTGGGGTTACGGATTTTCGAGCCCCCCCCAAAAAGCCGAGGCTACCCCGAACCCCAGCTTAAACCCTAACACCGCAAAACCCTGCGAAGGCCTTCAAGCAAATAAGGGCCTCTACGGGCCCTAACATGCCGAAGGCCCGAAAAGGGCCGAGGCTACCCCGAACCCCAGCTTAAACCCTAGCGATTGAAATACTCATAAAAAAAGTAATAGGTTCCCTGACCTTCAAATGAATAAAGCCTCTACGGCCCCTGACACGCCGAAGGACCCCAAGAGCCACCAAAAGGCTTCAAAAGACTTCATAAGACCCCCTAAAAGAAGGGGGACCCCAGGATGCCCGTACCCGCAATGAAAAATGCGATTTTTTGTACTGAAATCCATGGTTTTGGGCACCCCTTCATTTTACCCCGGAAGGGCCAGGAAAGCCCCCAAAAGGCCCCAGAAGGCCCCAAAAGCCACCAAAAGGCTTGAGGCCCTTAAACGGGGAATCCAGGAGCAGGCACAAAGGGTTTCCCTGACCTTCAAATAAATAAGGGCCTCTACGGGCCCTGACACGCCGAAGGCCCGAAAAGGGCCGAGGCTACCCCCAACCCCAGCTCAAACCCTAACAGCGCAACTTTAAAAACATCAAAGCAAGCATCAGGGCGCAAGAAAATAAATTCCATAAACCCTAAACCCTAATAGAGTATAGTTTGGGTGGCCGGGGTGGGTTGACGGGCAACGCGAGCGCGCGGCCCGGGGTGTTTCACACCCGAGCGCGCGCCCTCCCTTGACACACCCTAAACCCTAAACCCTAAACCCTAAACCCTAAACCCTAAACCCTAAACACCCAAACCCCCCAAACCCTAAACTCCGACCCCAAGCCCTGCGCTTGCTGAAAGACCCTCGAAGAGAGGTCGAACTCTGCCAATCACCCTCGGGTTCAGGGTCTATATCTTGGGGGGGGACCAAATGAACCCTAAATTGGCCTAGGGTTTAGGGTTCAGGGTTCAGGGTTTAGGGTTTAGGGTTTAGGGTTTGGGGTTTAGCGTTTGGGGTTTAGGGTTTGGGGTTTGGGGTTCAGGGTTTAGGTTGGTTGCTTCGAAGTCCCGGTAGGACAGGCTTGTGGGCTCAAGCCAGATGTGTAAGCTTGCAGGAGGTCAAGGTGTGAGGCCAGCATGCAAGCACCGCAGTGGTTTAGGGTTTAGGGTTCAGGGGTCAGGGTTTAGGGTTCAGGGTTCAGGGTTCAGGGTTTAGGGTTTAGGGTTTAGGGTTCAGGGTTCAGGGTTCAGGATTTAGGGTTTAGGGGCTGCTATGTTTCCCGTGGGAAGAGAATGTGAACCAAAGGAAGCTTTCTCGGGTTCATGTGGTCCCCCACGGTAAGGTTTATGCTTTCGAGGGCATAAGCGCATCACCTTGTCCAGGGCTGCAAGGTGAGGAGAGAGCCAAATTGTTGGATCCCTGACATTGCTGCCCTAAACCCTCAACCCTCCACCCTAGACCCTAAACCCCAAACCCTGAACCCTAACCCTGAACCCTAAACCCTGAACCCTAAACCCTAAACCCTAGGACTGAAGAGGCACGATCCTGGACGTCCTATGGGGAGGGCTCTTTGCCCTGAACACCATAAGCCTCAACCTTTCGTCACCTAAAAGTTCCGGAAGTCCCTTGGAAAACCACAAAACCCAAAACCCTAAACCCTAAACCCTAACCCCCCACACACAAAAGAAATGAAAAACATCAATAGATAAAAGGAAAACAAACAACAACGAGAGTCAACAAATCACCAAGCAGGCGCTGACTGGGCCTGGGGCTGGCTCGACTTCCTGATCGTCTCTCGGCTTTCTTCTGGCTGGCCCTTAGGATATTTAACTTTTTGTGATTTTGGAGAAACTACAATAAGGAGCCTAAAAGTTAAACTTTTCGGGTTTCCCACCCTAATCCCAGAAACTCTAAACCCTAAACCTAGTAGTTATGAACTCTTAAGAGGGGCTCTCAGACGTCAGCGCCGAGGTCACGAGCTCCTTGTGGGAGCTGGGGATCGACGTGGCCTCTCGGACCTCAGCCACCGGGGCTCTCAGGGGGCCGTTGGTTATCATTGTTTTTAATATTGTTATTAATAATTATTATTATGATTATTATGATTATCATTATTATTATTATGATTATTATGATAATTATTATTATGATTATCATTATTATTGTTATTATGATTATTAGTCTTAATATTATTATGACGATTGTTACTCGGATTATTATTGTTATTGTGGTTTTTTGTTATTTAGTTTCTTTTTTTGGTGGGCTTGGGGATATGATATGGGCCCTCAACAGGTTACCCATTATATACCCCTTAGAATGCCCTTTACAACCCCAAGGCCCATACTTCAGAACCCCTTCAAGGAGGTAAGGGACCATATTAAGGGCCCATGACACTACCCTCAGAACTGAAGCCCCTAAACCCTAAACCCTAAACCCTAAACCCTAAACCCTAAACCCTAAACCCTAAACCCTAAACCCTAAACCCTAAACCCTAACCAAAGCAGACGCAGAACTCGTAGTAAAACCCCTTCTGAAACCAGCGGAGACCCCTAAACGCCAAAGCCTGCTGGCCGAGCGATTCACATGCAGGACTCCGAAACAATGCTTGTGTTTAGGGTTTAGGGTTTAGGGTTTAGGGTTTAGGGTTTAGGGTTTAGGGTTTAGGGTTTAGGGTTCCGGGTTTAGGGTTTAGGGTTTAGGGTTTTGGGTTTAGGATTTCAGGTGCCTTTAACGCTAAACAGAACCCTAAACCCTAAATCCTTGCTTTCAGGCCTTCCTCATCCAGCAGGACCTGGGGAGCTGCTCAGTTCCCCCGTAGGGTTTACGGTGTTAGTTGAACTCTAAGCCCCCAGCCCAGGGTCGAGTGTGTGGGTATTGGGGACTTGTGTTTTTTGGCAGTGGGTTTCTAGCCATGTTCGAACACCTGAGTTATCAGGGCAGAGGGTTTAGGGTTTTGCCTTCAGGTTTTCGGCGAGGGCTTTAGGGTGCAGGGATTCGGATTTCGTCCACCACAAGGAGCAGGTTGGGGACCACCCTAAACCCTAAACCCTGAGCCCTAAGCCCTAAAACCCGAACCCCTAAACGGTTGGGTTGTTGAGTTGGTACATTGGAGCCCTAAGCCCCTAGGCTCCCCAAACCCTTCAAAAAGAAACCAAAACCTCCAAGCCCCTTACACCCTAAATCCTAACCCCTACCTGCACACCCCAGGTAATCAATGTAAGTGTGCCTTAAGTCAAGGGTTTCCCTAACCGTTCCACCTCAAGTATCGTTCCACCTCAATTTCAGCGTGCTGCTTCAGCGCGAAGCCCACGCGCTGAAGCAGCATCCGAATTTGAGGCAGCACCCAAATCGAGGCAGCATGCATTTGGCACGGGAATTTGGCCTGGCATGTTTCTTCTCATACAAAATAGCCTTTCTAGCGAAACCCAGTTGATTTTCACAACGTGCCACCTCGACTATCGTTCCACCTCAATTTCAGCGTGCTGCTTCAGCGCGAAGCCCACGCGTTGAAGCAGCACCCAAAATCGAGGCAGCACCCAAAGCGAGGCGGAATGGCTATGGAACTCCTTGATTAAGGGGGTATTTAAGGCGTCTTTAAACGAGCACGTCGGGGAGGTCCAGGTCTACCCGAAAACCCTAAACCCTAGGGTTTAGGGTTTAGGGTTTAGGGTTTAGGGTTTAGGGTTTAGGGCGCCAGGACGACCAGCTGCAGGGCATCGGCAACTCCAGCGCCCTGCGGGCCGTGCGCATCATCCGCATCACTCGGATGCTGAAGACGCCCCGGTGCTGAGAGGGAGACCTTGAGTTTGGGGGTTCATTTAGGGTTTAGGGTTGAGGGTTTGGGGTTTAGGGTTCTAGATGAGGTTTGTAGGGTTGAAGGTTTAATCAGGATTTTGTAAGGTTTACGTTGGTTTAGCTTGTTTACGTAGGGTTTGGGGTTTTGGATTTTTAGGGTTTAGGGTCGATTTGAGGTTTTGAGCTTAAGGTTCTATTTGCGGGGGTTCGTGCTTAGGGTTTAGAGATACTTGTAGGGCTGATTGGGTTTTTAGCGCTTCTGATCTTATTGGGGTTTGGACTGGCTTAAGGGGTCGAGGTAGGGTGTACGCTGAGGAGTTGAGGGGTTTAGGGTGTAGGGTACAGAGCTAGGGTCTATAGCGTTCAGATTGTAGGCTTAGGGTTTAGCATAGGATTTGGGGTGGTTGAGGGTTGGTAGGGTTTAGGGTTTAGGGTTTAGGGTTCAGGGTGGGTCTGGGACTTAGGGAGCTTTTTTGAGAGGGCTTCCTATGGGGTCATCACCCCTTAATGCCCAAAGGTTTAGGTTTGGGGTGGGTTCCCAGCCCATACCCTAAACCTTAAACCCTAATTTTTTTGACCCTATAGATCCTAACCCTGAACCCTAAAGCCGCCGAAACCCCCAACCCCACTATCCCAATTTCTTCTCACGGGCTTGGAACTGATGTGGGGTGTGGATGTCCATCCCTAAACTCTAAACCTAAGTCCCTTCATAGTTGTTGGAACCTTCATCATTATTATTTGTTTATTATCGTCAATATGATTTGTTAGTGTTTTAAAATATTTCTATCATTATTACAATTTTGTGCTTGTTTCTGCATTATCTCTTCTTTTTTTTTTTGGGGGGGGGGGGGGTGGATGTCCATCCACAGGCTCCGTCTACTTCGCATCTTTCGCTTCATCGTGGCCTTGAGGATCTGCACGGGATTGGGGGGGGCAGAAGGCCGCGACCCTCTAGGGTTTGGAGTCTGTAGACCCCGTAAAGATGGGAATGCCACCCCCAAAAGCCCCTCAACCCGAAGCCTGTGGCTATGTTTGGGGCCAAGCAGGCTTCATGGCCCATACTCGGATGTTCGGGGTTTCTTAGAACCCAACTGCAAATTGCACCTATGACCCACTTGCCGTTTAGTACAGTGCGAGTGCTGGTTAAGAAAGGGCGTTGGGTCTGGTCAGGGGAGGGGGGCGGGTGTCTGAAAGTTGTGCATTTTTGCTGCTGGTGCAGCTTCAGGTGTTCAGGAGGGAGAGCATCTAAGGGTAGTGTCATGAGCCCCGACTATGGTCCCTTACCTTCTTTCAAGGGTTCTGAAATATGGGCCCTTTGGCTGTCTAGGGTAGAGAAGGGCTATACAAGATGCCCCCGCTTAAGGCCCATGCTAATGGGAGAGGGGGGGAGCATGGCCAGGACCCTCGTGACGTCGATCATCTCGACGTTGAAGAACTTGTTTTGGGCGCTGATGCTGCTGCTTGGGGGGCAAAAACTCAACAGGGGTTTAGGGTTCAGGGCTTAGGGTCTGTTTGTGGTTCAGGGTTTAAAGTGCGGTGTTGTTCCCAGCAAACTCCGAGTGTGCGCCGAGCAAAGTGGCGACCTTGCAACTGTTGATGCCACTCGGATACCCCGGGTGTTCAGGTTACTCAGCCCTCAAACCCCTTATTTCCGAAACTCAAGATTATGCGAATGCCTATACTACCCTTACAAGGATGAATATTTGTTGACTCCTGTTTTTTGTGCCGGGGGGGGGGGGGGTTCTGAAACAAATAGTCTTTGTTCCTTAGGGACGAAATGAACCCTAAAATTGGGGTCATATACCCTGAGTACTCTAATTCCTCTTCAGGTATATGAACCCTATAATACTACTATAATTCCGATTAAGGTATATGAACCATAAATTTTAGGGTTCATTTAGTTCCCCTTTTAGGGTTCATTTAGTCCCCAAGGTTGGGAGCGGAGGTCAAGCCCCATGATTGCTCTTCGCACTTCGGGCTTCTTGGGGAGTTTAGGGTTTAGGGTTTAGGGTTTAGGGTTGGGGGTTTAGGGTTTGGGGTTTTCTCTTGGGACGTTCCCCTTTCTTCCTTCAGCTCGTCCTTACAACGGATTATAATAGGGGGGGGGGGTTCTAGAATATACCTATGAAGGATCCAAGTTTTCTCCGAACCCCGAACTTCAAACCCGAGACCTTAAGTCGTTTCTCAAAGCGAAGCCCCTGCCTGAAGCCACTAAACCCGGCATCTTTTCGCAGGTGAACCCTTCATGGTTTAGGGTTTAGGGTTTAGGGGTTTAGGGGTTTACGGTTTAGGGTTTGGGGTTTAGGGGTTTGGGGGTTTATGGTTTAGGGTTTAGGGTTTACGGTTTAGGCTTTAGGGGTTTAGGGGTTTCGGGGTTTAGGGTTTAGGGTTTACGGTTTAGGGTTAAGGGGTTTAGGGGTTTAGGGTTTAGGGCCCGAAACCCTCCCTGGCGCCCTCCGGGACTCGCCAGCTTTCGACAGCTCGCTGAGGCTGGGAATCATCATCTATGCCTTCGCCATCCTCTTCTGCCAGGCAATTGGGGGTTTTCACAAAAATCAGGGACCCCTAATAGTGTCCCCCAATAATGCGATTCTCTTACAAGGGCCCGAAAAAGTACACCCCTCTTCTGCCAGGCTCCCGTGTTCGTGGGGTTAGGGGATTGGGTTTAGGGTTTAGGGTTTAGGATTTAGGGTTTAGGCTTCTTTTTTGGGGGGCTGAGGCTTTGGGGTTTGGAGGGGGTTTGGCCAGGCAATTCAGCTGGTTGTTGTCTTCTGGGCTTCTGTTTCTGCGGCCAGTTTGGTCGAGTCCGTCCTCTTCGCTGTCTTCCAAAGTCTAGACTTCTCTCTCATCTACGCCGTTGCCATTCCCTTCTGCCAGGCTCCAGTAGCTCGAGGCGGTTGGGTTTAGGCCAAGTTTAGGTTTTTGTTGGGGGGTTAAGGGTTTAGGAGTTGATGGGTTTGGTGCTTAAGGTTGGGTTCTAGGTATGATATGCATCGACTCACGGCTTTGACATGTCTTGTACTCGGGTTGAGGGTTGAGGCTTTAGCTTTACAGGGGTGGCAATCCATGAGCTTCTCAACTTCTCAAAGCTAGCCCACGAAGAAACAATGTGAGCCCTTCTTCTTTAAGCGCCCAGAACTACAAGGAGCATACTGTAGCGGAGGGCCCCAAGAAGGCGGCCAACACCCAATTGACAGGAATAGCGCTTCAAAGAATGAAGGTTTGCACACCTTGAACCGTTACCCCAACGCCTTAGACCCCATAGCTATAACACTATGCGCAGCCAAACCCTGGAAGACCTATAAACCACTGGTCTAGGCTTCGTATATACTTGGTAGCCTAGTGGTACCCTTCTGCCCTTTCTCTGGCTCCAGGTTCCCATGTAAAGTCACCAGCCCCCCAAAAGAGGTGCCCTTATTATGATGTTGTTGCTGGGCTCCCCAAACCTAAAACCCTAAAGCCCTAAACCCTGAACCCCGAACCCTAAACCCTAAACCCCGAACCCTAAGCCCTAAACCCTGAACCCTAAACCCTGAACCCTAAGCCCTAAACCCTTAACCTTTAACACCCTAAACCCTAAGCCCTAAACCTTCAACACCCCAAAACCCTAAACCCTAAAACCCTCAGCCCTAAGCCCTAACCCTAAACCCTAACCTTACACTAAACCCTAAACCCTAAACCCTAACCTTAAACTAAACCCTAAACCCTACAGTAACCTTAAACTAAACCCTAAACCCTAACCTTACACTAAACCCTAAACCCTAACCTTAAACTAAACCTTAAACCCTAACCTTACACTAAACCCTAAACCCTATACATCGTTAACACCCAAAACCTCAGCCCCGCAGCTGTCGAGGCCGTCCGATCCCATGTCTCGGACCCGACGATGACGCCGCTGCCGGAGGAGGCGGTCCTGGGCTTGGGGGACTTCAGGGCACCTTATTGGCTATTTAGGGTTTAGGGTTAGGGTTTAGGGTTTAGGTTTTTTTAAGGTTTAGGGTTTAGGGTTTAGGGTTTAGGGTTTAGGGTTTAGGGTTTCGGGTACTTAAAGCCACAGGAGGAGGTCCTGGAGTCCTGGTTTGGGGTCTTCAGTGCACTTACTTGGATATTCAGGGTACTTGTAACCCCAATAAGAACTGTACTTGTAGGTCCCCTACAGTATGCTCCATAAAGTTGGAACAGGGTTTAAGGACGATTGGGGCTGGGATTCCCTGTAGTACGCCGCTTGGGTTATGATGACAATGATGTTCCAACTTTTGGGATTTTACTGTAAGTCCCCTAAGAATGTTATCAGAAGAGGTATAATCCAGGGTTTGGGGGCTGCAGTGCACTTCCTTGGAGATTCAGGGTGCTAATGCAACTGGGGTTTTGGGGTTTAGGGTTGGGCATAGAGCTCTCCATTCAAAGGGTTTCAGGGCCTTAAATGCGGACCCGAGGCAGCCCGATCCTTGCGGGCAGCTCGCGATCTGTGATTGTTCGCTTGTTAAGGACATGTTTCTCGTTGCCTCCACATTTTTGCTCAGAGGGCTTTTATAGTCTTCACGGTTTGAGGGTTTTTCAAGGACCCGGCTGAAAGGTCGCATTTTTGAACGCCCGGAAGCACATTGAGAAATTATACTCCCTAGACCCTCCCTCAACGCAGCCCCAAGCCCTGGAGGATAATAATCTAGACTGTCAGTAGTTGTGGTTACCTCCATAGTCTCATTTTCTTGCCGCAAGAGACAAATGTTTTTGTTGGTGGGGACTTCTTTCTAAGTCACGGCAAATGCCCGGCGGCTCACTGAGCCGGCTGCGTCGTGCATTGGACGATGCATACCGCGACCCTGCCACAGTCACTGAAATGCGCTCGCGCCGCCGAGCCACTGCGGCGCAGGACCTGGCTCGCGCCCAGGCGAAGCGGGCGGCTGCCATATCTGGGCATGTCGTAGCCATCGCCATTTCCTTGGGGACTAGGTGAACCCTAAAAGGGTTATGGTTCATATACCTGAGTAGGAATTATGTACTCAGGGTATATGACCCCAATTTCAGGGTTCATTTCGTCCCCAAGGATCGCCATTTTCTTATGTGCGACACCGCCCCAGGCTTTGCGGGCACGCCAAAAGGCAGACCGACGAGCGAGGCATGTCCCTGGCCCTCTCCCTGCGGCTCAGTTAGGGGGGAGGCCATTGTTGCGGAAGCGGAGCAGAAGCCCGAGCATAGTTCAGCAGAGGAGGAAGAGGAGGAGAAGAGTTGTTCCGATTGTGGATTAGGATTTAGGGTTCCAAGGGTGTTGGGTTTTGGGTTTTGGGTTCAGGGTTCGGGTTTAGGGTTTAGGGTTTAGGGTTAGGGTTTAGGGTTCAGGGTTTAGGGTTTCGGGTTTCGGGTTTAGGGTTTAGGGTTTAGGGTTTAGGGTTTAGGGTTCAGGGTTTAGGGTTTAGGGTTTAGGGTTTAGGGTTCAGGGTTGAGGGTTTAGGGTTTAGGGTTTAGGGTTTAGTGTTGTTGGACATTCAGAGTGCGAATATAACTGGGGTTTAGGGTCTATAGGGTTTAGGGTTCAGGGTTTAGGGTTTAGGGATTTAGGGCCACAAATACAACTGCACTTATCAGCCCCGGAAGTCCTCCAAGTAAGTAAGTAGACGTCTAATCCAAGTAGAGTAAAGAGTTTACCTTTTTGAACTAGCTAGGGGTTTCCTCGTACCCTATTTACCTACAGATTAAGGGTTACATCTAGTATATGGGGGGGGGTACTTGGTACTTACTACGAAACTGTAGGCAAGTAGAGTCCCAGCTACAGCCTACTCCAGGCTTGAGAAGTATCATACTAGAGCATTGTGGGCTCAGGGCGTGTTTCATTCCCTAACCCCTAAGCCCTAAACCCTAGACCCCAAAAACCAAAGCCTAAACCCCAAACCCTAAACCCTAATCTCTAATTTGTTAGCGGTGTCAGGGCCCCCAGAAATTGGAATTCATTCCCTCCTGGGATTCGTAGTGCTGTACCAAGCTCACGGTTCAGGGTGCTTTGTGGCGTGCTTGAAGTTTTAGGGTTTAGGGTTTAGGGTTTAGTTTAAGGGTTTTGGGTTTAGGGTTTTGGGTCTAGGGTTTAGGTGTGAGGTCTGATGTCTGAATTTTCATGATAGAACTAGGCAAAGACTTCAACCCTAAACCCCATGAAGTCCATAAACCCTGTTTACCCGAACCCCTGCATGCTATCAACCCCAAACCCCCAAACCCTATTCACCATATACATCCAAAAGCCCTAAACCTAAGCCCTTCAACCCGTAGGTTTAGACTCTTCCAAAGCCATGAACAGTACACCGCGTAAACCCCCCGACTCCCTGTAGTTAAGCTCTCTAAGCCTACGCACCCCAAAACCCTAAGCCCTAAACCCTAAAACCCTAAATTCTAAACCCTAAACCCTAAACCCTAAACCCTAAACCCTAAACCCTAAACCCTAAACCCTTAGGGTTTACCCCTTTTAGGGCTTAGGGTTTAGGGTTTAGGGTTTGCTCCCCCAATATCAGGTGCAGGAGCAGGCGGACAGATTCTTCGGTTCGCTTCCGGACACGATGCCGCCCGGCTTTTGTGTGCATGGTCCCTTTGCTTTGTAGCCCTAAACCCTAACCCTAAACCCTAAACCCTAAACCCTTGAGGCTTGGGCTTAGGGCTTTCGAGGCTGTCTGGGGTTCATGGTTTTCTTTTCAGCTTTGTTTGGTACACATCTGGATCCCTCTGGCGGGTTTAGGGCTGAGGGTTTGGGGTTCAGGGTTTGGGGCGTGTTTATGGTTTGAGCAATTCAGGGTTTAGAGTTGTGTCTTGTCAGTGCGTTTCAGTTTACCCATGAAGTTAGCCCTGGTGGCCCCCCATGTTCCGCTGTCCTCGACCCCTAAACCCTAAACCCTGAACCCTGAACCCTGAACCCTGAACCCTGAACCCTAGCCCTGGTAGTCCACATCTTCTGCCCTAAAGCAGCACCCTTTTCCCCATTTTGCAATTGAAGCGCCCTGCCCGGTTGTCACCACAATGCCAGTGCCCAAGATCTCCAAACCCAAACTCTCAGGGTTTAGGGTTTAGGGTTTAGGGTTTTTCAGGGTTTAGGGTTTAGGGTTTAGGGTTTAGGGCTAGGGTTTAGGGTTTAGGGGCCTTCAATCCCAGATGAACACACATTCTTTACATGTATACACAGAAGTATATAGGTTTCCGCTCATGTTGACATGTTTGTTTACCGCAAGTACACCTTTATACTGCACTAACAGTCCTTGATAGGGTTATAATACCCTCCATGATAATACCTATTAAGGACTGTTAGTATAAGGGTGAACATCCCAACCCTAAACCCGAAACCCGAAACCCTAAACCCTATCCCTATCCCTCTAAAGGATGTCAGTATAAGTTCCAGACGTACATCCCCCCCCCCCCCCCCCCCCCTAAACCCGAAACCCTGAACCCTAAACCCTAAACCCTAAACCCTAAGCCCCAAACCCTAAACCCTAAACCCCAAACCCGAAACCCCAAACCCCAAACCCTAAACCCTCCGCCCCCCTCCGCCCCCACCGCACGAAGCTGCGGGGCAAGAACCCGAGGCTCAGCCTCTTCATGAGTGCCAGAGCCGCATGTTAGGAGCAGCGCTTATGAGGCTAGCCCTAAACCCTAAACCCTAAACCCTAAACCCTAAACCCTAAACCCTAAACCCTAAACCCTAAACCCAAAACCCAAAACCTTAAACCCTAAACCCTAAACCCTAAACCCTAAACCCTAAACCCTAAACCCTAAACCCTAAACCCTAAACCCTAAACCCTAAACCCTAAACCCTAAACCCTAAACCCTAAACCCTAAACCCCAACCCTAAACCCCAAGCTCCCTTTCAGTTTGAAGCTTGGGATTCCGGGTATCCGGATGTAGTGCGATTAGGGTTCAGGGCTTGTGCTTCGGAGTTTCGGGGTTGGGACAGAGGGTCTGGGGCATGTAAACTCTGCAAGCCGCATAAGTGGGTGCAAGACCTGATTCCCTACATCATCTCTTGTAAGGTTTTAATGTCATAAAGTCATAAAAGGCTTTCCTACAGAGTTTGCCAGAAGCTGGTAGCACAGACCTACGTATTGCCTTGAATACATGCAGTTGTGCTCATGACCAACTGCCTGGGACCCCCTTCGCATCTGTACGCGCATGTCTCCACCTTCGAGCTTCGCATCAATGATGTTCGGCCCTGGTTCCGTGCTGCTGTGGTTTGATGCTCTCAACCACAAACGGCCATGTCGCCGTGGACGGTGGTTTCACCGTTCCTTGGATCGCAGAGATCCTGCCCGACTACTTGATTAGGGTTTAGGGTTTAGGGTTTAGGGTTTAGGGCTTTAATTCTGCCATGGCCCCTAGTGGACTTCGTGGGGGTTGCTTTGCCAAATCTGTGGGGTGAAGCGCATTGGCATCGCGCCTGCACGAGGCAAGAGTCGACCCGGTGCATTTCCACTGTGATGGTGGTGGAGGAGCGGGCTCCTGTTGGTGAACGCGGGGAGCATGTGGCCACAACCCCTAAACCCCTGAAACCCTAAACCCTGAACCCCTGAAACCCTAAACCCTAAACCCCCGAAACCCCTGAAACCCTAAACCCCCCAACCCCTAAAACCCTGAAACCCTAAAACATCTTAAACAGGTCACGCGGGGGTTTAGGGCACTAAACCCTAAGCCCTTACCTTTAGCCCGGTGGTACCCTTCACCCTTTTTTGGGTTATGGTTTCCCTTATCAAGTAACCAACCCCACAAAAAGGGTCCTTTAAGGGGGTTCTATTCTATTTGGGGCACAACAGGGGCAATTACCCCTATTTCCATTTGGTTACAACCCTAAACCCTAAACCCTAAACCCAGGATGAACCTCATGCTGCCCTAAACCCTAAACCCTAAACCCTAAACCCTAAACCCTAAACCCTAAACCCT